CGATAATCCTTTTCATGACTATTTTATAGCCATCCCCCCAGATATCACAGTCGATGTCGTTGCAGAGAGTTTTCCAGCTCTGTCTTTTTGCTCTCTTGATCGCATTTCTAAGATTCTAAGATTCTTTCTTACTTCCTATCTTCCTATCTATCTATCTATCTATCTATCTATCTATCTATCTATCTATCTATCTATCTATCTATCTATCTATCTATCTATCTATCTATCTATCTATCTATCTATCTATCTATCTATCTATCTATCTATCTATCTATCTATCTATCTATCTATCTATCTATCTATCTATCTATCTATCTATCTATCTATCTATCTATCTATCTATCTATCTATCTATCTATCTATCTATCTATCTATCTATCTATCTATCTATCTATCTATCTATCTATCTATCTATCTATCTATCTATCTATCTATCTATCTATCTATCTATCTATCTATCTATCTATCTATCTATCTATCTATCTATCTATCTATCTATCTATCTATCTATCTATCTATCTATCTATCTATCTATCTATCTATCTATCTATCTATCTATCTATCTATCTATCTATCTATCTATCTATCTATCTATCTATCTATCTATCTATCTATCTATCTATCTATCTATCTATCTATCTATCTATCTATCTATCTATCTATCTATCTATCTATCTATCTATCTATCTATCTATCTATCTATCTATCTATCTATCTATCTATCTATCTATCTATCTATCTATCTATCTATCTATCTATCTATCTATCTATCTATCTATCTATCTATCTATCTATCTATCTATCTATCTATCTATCTATCTATCTATCTATCTATCTATCTATCTATCTATCTATCTATCTATCTATCTATCTATCTATCTATCTATCTATCTATCTATCTATCTATCTATCTATCTATCTATCTATCTATCTATCTATCTATCTATCTATCTATCTATCTATCTATCTATCTATCTATCTATCTATCTATCTATCTATCTATCTATCTATCTATCTATCTATCTATCTATCTATCTATCTATCTATCTATCTATCTATCTATCTATCTATCTATCTATCTATCTATCTATCTATCTATCTATCTATCTATCTATCTATCTATCTATCTATCTATCTATCTATCTATCTATCTATCTATCTATCTATCTATCTATCTATCTATCTATCTATCTATCTATCTATCTATCTATCTATCTATCTATCTATCTATCTATCTTTTTTTTTTTTTTTTTTTGTCGGGTGGAAATGCTTTATGCACTGACTGAAGTACTTGTTCTTCCTTTTCTTCAGTACTGTGTGAGGTTCACCTCTTTGGCATACTCACTAAAACCACCCCTGTTCTTCCCACACCAACTTGGAACCGCTTGTCGCATAACGTCAAGTTGGTTGATGTCTTGGTTATTTCTCAATCTCTCTGTTGTCTTGCCGCTGCCTGTTGAAGTCTTCTTTCTTCTAGTCCTTTATTCTCCATCAAACTCCTTATGAAAGAAGTGATCATGTTCCAATTTGTTTCATTCTCAATCATCATTTGCACCATATTCTCAGTCGTTAATGTTTCTCCCAGTCCTTGATTCAGTTGTGTCCTTTCGACTCGCCACTTTTCACAGTCGAAGAGAGAGTGTTCTACTGTGTCTGCATGATCGCAATACATACAGCTATCACTTTCGGTCTTTCCAATTCGCTTCGTGTAGACTCCGAACGAGCCATGCCCCGTTAGAACTTGTGTGAGGTAATAGTCTGTTCTTCTGTGTGTACATTTCACCCACTCTGCTAGGTTTGGTATCAACCGTTTCGTCCATTGTGCCACCTCCACTGTATCGTTCCACGTTTCTTGCCACTTCTCGATTGTGCGCGTCCTTTCAAGAGCTTTACTTTGCGTCGTGTTCTCTTCTTCTATGTGGTACAATCTATATCTCTCTTCCACTAGTAAATCTATTGGTATTATTCCTGCGATTACTTGGACTGCCTTCGCTGATACTGTGCGATATGCGCTCGTCACTCTTATGAGCATTTTCCGCTGCACCTTTATCATCATTTGCCTATACTTTTTCATTCTGATATAGTCATGCCATATAGGTGCTCCATACAATAGAATTGACTGTACAACATAGTATAGCATCTCTCTTTTCTTTGACCCGGGTCCTCTGATATTGGGAGTTATTCTGGTCAAAGCGACTACCTTCTTTTCGGCCTTCTCGACCATTGTCTTTATATGCTGTCCAAAACTACAGTTCTCTCCTAGCGTGATGCCAAGGTACACAATGCTTCTCTTTGGTCGAATCTCAGCTTCTCCACATTTGAAGATCACACCTTCTTTATCACGTTGCCCTTTGAGTATGAGTGCTTCTGACTTATGAGGCGCTAGTTCTAGTTCATTTGTCCGCATCCAGCTGTTTATCTGTTGTAGAGCTTCATCCCCCTTCCATTTCAAGTCTTCTTTATTTTTAGCTGTGATAACCATAGCTAAGTCATCTGCATATGCAAGTGTGTATACTCCCTTGGGCATTATCTCCTCTAGAACGTCATCATAGAGTACGTTCCACAAGGTGGGACCTAGAACTGATCCTTGTGGGATTCCAGCTGTTATTTTTATGCTTGTTCCTTTTTCTATATAGAGATGCCTGTTTTCCAAATAGGAGTCGATTAGATTCAATAAGTATCTTGTTACACCCCTTTTCTGTAGTTTTCTCAATATTTTATTCCATGGTGCTGTGTTAAAAGCGTTTTTCACATCAAGGGTGATCAGTGCAACCCATTTATCGTTTTTTCTTCCTTCGATAATGCGTACAACTTCTTCTACTGCTTGAATAGTTGATCTTCCTTTTCGAAAACCATACTGATGTTCCGACAGTCCTCCAGTATCCTCCAATTCTTTTTCTAGTCTCTCTCTTATGAGTCCTTCGTACAGTTTACCAAACGAGTTCAACAAACAAATTGGTCTGAAGTTCATGTCTTCCGGTTTTCCTTTCGGAATCAAAACCAATTTCGCTTTTTTCCAGTTGCATGGAAAATTTTGTTCATTCAGAAGTCCATTTAGCAGTCTAAGCAATAATTCTGGAGCGATTTCTTCAAGCATTTTGATCACTACCATTGGAATACCATCGAGACCAGGTGCCTTTCCTGTTTTCATCCTCTTAAGAACTTTTTTCAATTCTTCCTGTGTGAACGGCTCTATCTCCTCTTCAACGGTGAGTTTTGTCCAGTTTTTATTTTTTCCTGGAAAAAGCTTCTCTGCTATTTTCAACTTCACTTCTACAGCTAAGCTGAAAGGAGTGTAACCCACAAGTTTCTTGGTTGCAATTGTATAACCTTTTCCCCATATATCAGCGTCTAACTCATCACACAGATCATCCCAGTGTCGTTGTTTTGATTTATTAATCAGTTTTTGTAGCTCTTTCTTCGTATTCTTGTACCTTTCGTGAATTTCATTTTCAGTTCCCGGCTGTAGTCTAGCTGCGCGTGTTGCTTCTCTTCTACTCCTTAGGCATTCTATCCTCTTATCTGCTATTTCACTCGTCCACCAGTATGGTGTATGTAACTTTCTAGTTCTTCTCCTGTCCAAACTATCTTGATATGCATGTTTGGTTGCGCTTTCAAGGCTTACTATGTCATCTAACCCTCCTTCAATTCTCCAGGTTATTATTTCCCTGAAGATTTCCCAATCACACATCGGTTTCGTGGTTCCAAGCTGCTGGCCTTTCTTGTTCCTACTATTGATCTCAAAATATATATATTGGTGGTGAGTTCCTGGCTCATCATCGAGAACTTCCCAATTACTTATCACTTTCTGGATCTTGGGTGTACAGCACGTTATGTCAATGTATGATTCGGACTGTCCTCTGATGAAAGTTGGCTTAGCTCCGTCATTTAGAACATTCAGGTTGAGTGCAGCCATCCATTCGCAAAAATACTCTCCCCTCTTGTCACTGTGCGGAGAACCCCATGCTAGAGACTTTGCATTTATATCTCCAGCTATAATTTTCTCGTCGGACTTCTCACAGATATCTTCCATAATTGCATCAACACTGCTTTGGAATTCTTCCATACGAATATTTGGGGAAATATAGCAACAATATAGCTGAACATTTTTCAATTTGATCCTCACATAGCCTTCTTCAGAGCGCGAGTCGACTACCTCGATATTTTTATTCACAAACAGAATAGCTACATCACTTCTTTTGTCTTTAATCCATTGATTGCTTTCTACAATTTTCTTATTGGGTTCACCCACTATCAAAACATCAATATTTCTTCTGATCGCTGTGGCGTATGCTAGATCGTGTGCGACCCTCGACCTTCCTAAATTAGTTTGCAATATTTTGATCACTGTATTCATAGGAACTGCCTGCAGTAGTTGATGGCCTCCTGTTTGTGTTTCTTAGCAGCTTTCTATATTGTGGACACTTGGTTTGGTCAGAACGATGCCCCTCTATATTACACGCTATACAATATGGAGCATTTTGGCATTCCTTCACCTTGTGCCCAGGTTTGGTGCATTTCAGACATAACTCAGTTCTATCTTCCCCCGTACACTCTTCCCTTTTATGCCCAAAAAGATGACATCTGAAGCATCTCAAAAAATTGACTCTTTTTCGTACCCTGCAGAGTATCCAACCTATTTTTATCCTTCCTTTATCGACGATTCGTGTAGCTACATCTTTATTCAATGCGACCATGGCGCTCTGGTTACCATTTTGTGTTGGTCTCATAGAGATAATTCTCACCTGATTTTCCATTATCCCATTCGATTCGGAAATCTCTTTTTTCAGTTCTTCCTCATTTATACTAGCATCAATATCCGTTATGTGTATAGTAGATTCATTTGTTTTGATAATTACTTCCGTGTTTTCGTTTTTGTCTTGGATAGTCTGTTTGAGGACAGTAGATTTTTGTCTGCTACCTATTACTTCCAGAAAGAGATCTCCCTTGTTGGTTTTTTTGATTGTCTTGATCTTCAAGCCTGTTTCTTCCGGATTCACCGAGTTCTTCACCATTCTTAGAAGTTCTGCATAGCTCTTTCCTTCTGGTGCCTTCACTATTATTTTTTCCCTCTCTACTATAGGCTTCGTTCGTTTTCGACTCTCTATTCCCGATTTTCTTCTGGGTGCATTGACTTGGCCCTCCATATATATCGTTAGTTTTATATCATAGTCTCGGAAGATATACTCCAGACATTTCCTAAGGTAAGTCAGTGTCAGTTTTCCAATAGTGAAAACTTTCAGCTCTTTCTTCTGTTGTTTTTGCGCTTCGTCTCTAAGCTGTGTGCATAGCTTATATATGGGCACCACGTCCTCAACATCACTTTCTATGGGTAAAATATAGGTGGTATTGTTTCGCTGTGGCTGCTCATCTTTGGTCCGGCTAGTCCTCATTTCAATCTGAAATCTCACGTATTCCATGCTTTCTTCCTGAAAACCCTCCTGTATGATCGGGACTATATATGGAAAATGATTTTTCAGTATTTCCACAGAACCTTCATCCCCTCTAACATTCGAGTCCACGACTACTACTGAGTCTTCCTCTAGTTCCACGTTGTAAGATCTGAGTATTTCTCTTCTCGTTGCTTTGAAACTATCGTCTGGCCAGTTTTCGTCGATGATTTCCTTCAAGCGATCGAGATCCTTATCCGCATCCAGTATTGTCATAATTTTTTCATTTATCTTATTGTTCATGTTCTCCAATTCCTTATCAATGTCTCCTGGATCCGCCTGCGTTCCCATCGAAGTTGTCTCGATTCGGTGTTCTTTATTCAGATCGTCTGTCCAGAGGTTCTCTACTTGTTTGCGCAGTTCTTGGTTTTCTGATCGTAATACCTGCTCTAGATCTTGACCGCCAACAGCTTTGTCTAACCATCTCTTTTGACCTTCTTTCTGCATCTTTTCCGCGTAAAACTTCAGTTTATTACTGATCTCTGTTAGCTCCTTTTTTGGCTTGTAGCAGTCGTCCACTAATTTGTCCAGTAGTTTAACTTGTTTCAGCATCAAACCCAGAGTCTTCCTGAAGGCATTTCCCTCCGTTAACATTTCGTCGCTCGTGAAATCCGGTGACAGGTTTCCTCTCTTGCGCTTGCTTACTTGCGTCCATGCTCTGGTATCTCCCTCCACTTTATCAATTTCCCAGTTCGTGGTGTCAGTTTTTTGTTCAGCACCACCTTTCGAATTTGTTCTTAGTCTGCCTATAGGGGATCTACTCAAGCTAGATTTCGGGGTAAATATCATTGATTCCGAAGTGGATGTCGATATATCTTCGCTTTCAACATTCACATTTTCGGTTCCAGTAGCATCTAAAAGGGCTTCAACCTGGTTGCCCGCTGAAGTCCTTCCGCAGTCGCTGGTTGATGATCGGTCGAGGCCTGCTTTACCACCTTCGTTTCCGACCAGAACTGGGTATCCGACACCCTGCTCCGTAATTTCCTTATCCTTATTCGTGTCCATATCCATATTTATGCCAGCTGGTTTCTCTCTTTGTCTGGCTCTTCACCTTTGACCCGTTCGGCATGGGAGACCCTGCTGGTAGCTACGCTACCACCGACTTGGCTCTCAGGATCATCAGAGCACGCAAACCCCACCACCACGATAAGGTGGAGAAACCATCGGTGGGGATCTATCTATCTATCTATCTATCTATCTATCTATCTATCTATCTATCTATCTATCTATCTATCTATCTATCTATCTATCTATCTATCTATCTATCTATCTATCTATCTATCTATCTATCTATCTATCTATCTATTAATCTATCTATCTATCTATCTATCTATCTATCTATCTATCTATCTATCTATCTATCTATCTATCTATCTATCTATCTATCTATCTATCTATCTATCTATCTATCTATCTATCTATCTATCTATCTATCTATCTATCTATCTATCTATCTTTTTTTTTTTTTTTTTTTTTTTTTTTTTTTGTGGCGAAGAGGAGGGGAAATCTTGCATAAGACACCCAGTATGGTAGTGTCGGATTCCTACCGACTAAAACCCCTCCTCTTCCTCATTGCTCCTCACACTGGTATCCGCTCTCGCATTACTTCAGTGTGAGGGCAGTCTATTTCAAATTCGGCTATCTCTTTCTTTATCGCCTATAATATGCCGGACGACAGCGTATGCATCTTTCCATGACTCCTCTGACTCCACCAAACTATTCATCATATTGATTGCATCGAAAGTCCTTCCAGATCGCCTCTGGTAATCTGTTCTCACTTCTTCCCATTTGTGACATACAAAAAGCGTATGGTCTGCATCATCGTTTTCTCCGCAATATATACATTCACTGGATTCTGCTCTTCTTCGATCGAATAGATATTTCTTGAAGCATCCGTGTCCCGAGAGTGCTTGAGTCAAGAAATAGTCCACTTCTCCGTAAGGTCTGTTGACCCACCTTTCAATATCAGGAATCAGTCGATGAGTCCAGCGCCCGTATGTCCCATTATCCCACTTGTTTTGCCATCTGGTGATCAAATTGGCTGTGACATGTCTCTTTTCTATTCTATTATATGCCTCATGCCTTCCTTTGAATTGCAAGTCTATAGGTGGGATTCCAGCAATTACTGCTACTGCTTCCGCTGATACCGTCCTATATGCACTGCTCACTCTAATCGACATCAGTCGATGTATCTATCTATCTATCTATCTATCTATCTATCTATCTATCTATCTATCTATCTATCTATCTTTTTTTTTTTTTTTTTTTTTTTTTTTTGTTTTTTTTTTTTTTTTTTTTTTTTTTTTGCGAGGAGGAGAGGAAATCTTACATAAGACCCCGGTTTCGGGAGTGTCGGATTCTTACCGACTAAAACCTCTCCTCCTCCTCTTGCTCCTCCCACTGGAACCGCTTCCGCATTACTTCAGTGGGAGTGCTGGCATTACATCATCTCAGTATTCTCCATCAAATTCTAGCTCTTTCTTCCTTTTCTTTAGTCTCGATGATATGTCTAACAAGTTTATATACCTGATTCCATCCTCTTTCGCCTGAAAGCAAAGATTCTCTCATGCTTTCTTCCTCGAAGGTAGTTCCAGTTTCTCTCAGGTATTCTTGCCGTTTTCTTTCCCATCTGTTACATATGAACAGCGTGTGTTCAGCATCATCCTGATCCCCGCAGTACAAGCATTCCTCCGAGTCTGCCCTCATACGACCATACAGATATTTCCTGAAACTTCCATGCCCAGAAAGAGCTTCTCCGTATGACCTATTAACCCATTCATTTAAATTGGGTATGAGTCTGTGTGTCCATCTGCCGTATTTCCCATCATCCCACTTCCTCTGCCATCGTGTCATCAGGTTATTCCTTGCTAGTGCTTTACTTATTCCGCTGTACTTCTCTCTTCTTTCCATGATCAGTAGATCTATCGGAGGTACCCCAGCTATAGCCTCTGCTCCCTCTGATGATATCGTTCTATATGCTGAGCATATTCTGATACACATTTTGCGCTGGATACTGGTAAGTTTCGCCACTAGTTTCTGATTGCAGGTCACTGAGTGCCACGCTGGTGCAGCATACAATATCTGAGAGTGAGCCACGCTCAGTAATACTCTTCTCTTGGATGCCCTTGGTCCTCTGATGTTTGGCAGGAGTCCAGACAGTGCTGCTACTGTCTTTTCCACTTTTTGAGAAACTCTATTTATATGCTCGGCGAAAGTGAGTTTTGTATCAATCCAAACTCCTAAGTATTTCAATGATTTTTTTGGTGTTATCGTTACACCTTGCACTTCGAAATGAATAGGATCCAGTTTTCTCTTTGCTGTGAGTAGTATCGCTTCTGTTTTCTCGGGAGCGAGTTCGAGTTTCTTATGTTCCAACCAGTTGGATATTCGTTGCAGTGCGATATTTGCAACATTCATCAGACTCTCTTCGCCTTTGGCAACCACTACTACAGCAATGTCGTCTGCAAATCCAATTAGAGTTACTCCTGCTGGTTGTTCACTATTCAGAAGTCCATCATAAAGAAGGTTCCATAACGTTGGTCCCAGGACCGACCCTTGTGGTACCCCACTGTTGATCTTCCTCATCTTTGTGTCATTCTCCGCCTCTAATAGGATATGCCTATCTGATAGGTAGGATCTAATCAGGCTGGTGAGGCTCTCATCTATCCCTCTCCTTCTACATTCTTTGAGAATTTCCTGCCAGCTTGCACTATTGAATGCGTTCCTGATGTCCAATGTTATCATTGCGCATATCCTTCTGTGAGCCCAAGAGAATTCTTGACCTGCACTTCTCGCTATCCTTAAAACTTCTTCTATGGCATCCACAGTCTGTTTTCCCTCTATGAAGCCAAACTGTCTTGTCGATAGACCACCTGTGCGAGATATTTCTCCCTTCAGCCTGAGAAGAATCAGTTGCTCGTAGAGTTTTCCTTCTACGTCTAGAAGGCAAATAGGTCTGTGGGCTGATGGGTTTTGGATGGGCTTGTCGGATTTCCTCAGGAGCAGTAACCTGGCCCGTTTCCATTCCGTGGGAAAATCTGCTTGGCTAGCTAAACCATTGTATACGGCTAGTACAAACTCTGGGTTATTCGATGCCATAGCTTTAATCACTTCTGCTGGTATATTGCCAGGACCAGGAGCCTTTTTCTCTTTCATCTTATCACACGCTATACGTAATTCCTCCTTACTAAAATTAGAAAATATCACAGTTCTATCACAGTCAAATATCACTTCACAATGAACTGGGAAGAGGTGGTCTACCACTTCTTCCACAGTTTGCATGGGCATTTGAAGTTTGGGAGGATAGCCAATCAGACTCTTCATGACGATTTTGTAGCCATCCCCCCAAATATCACAGTCTAAATTATCACAGATAGTTTTCCAGCAATTCCGCTTGGATTTCTTGATTTCGTTTTGGAGAGCTTTTTTGCACTCCTTAAACTCATTCCAGAGTCTTTGGCTTTCATCTAGGTGGTCTCTTCTTGCTGATCTTGTAAACAGTCGTCTCTTTCGCATACATTCCTTCCGAGCTTGAGTGATCTCGTCATTCCACCAGTAAACAGGTTGCCTCTTTGGTGTTTTGCGCTTCCTTGGCATCGTCTGGTTGCATATCCGATTGAGTACCTGTGTGAAATCTTTCGGGGATGGATCCGGTATTCCGATCACATCTTCCTTCGTAACTTGAAACAGTTTCTCTTTGTCAAGTTTTCTAACTTGCCAGCCGTTTATTTTCTCAATTCCTTGATGTTGCACTTTTACTTCATCTAGAATGTCGAACACAATGTAATTATGGTCACTCAGGGATTCAAGTTCGCTGACATTCCAGTTCTTGATACGCTTCTTCATATCAGCAGTTGCAATTGTCAGGTCGAGAATAGAGGAGTAATCCCTTCTGTGGAAAGTTGGTTTATTTCCTTCGTTCACTATCACCAAATCGTTTTGTGCCATCCATTCTGTGACTAACTGACCTCTTCTGTCAGTATGGTCCATTCCCCACTGGGGGGACTTCGCATTGAAATCTCCAACAATCACCGCTTTCTCATTATTGTCTCTGATCAGGTTTCCGATTTCCCAGAGTATGCTCTCGAGGTCATCTATTCCTTCGTTCGGTGAAGCGTAGCAGTTGTACAAAGTGAAATCGGTTGTCGCTATATATGAGAAGCTGTACCCTTTTCCGAATTTCTTCACAGTGAGTTGGCTTGTAATTTTAATTGCCGTATTGAGATGATCATCACTTATCCAATCCTTCCTGTTCTTGATAGCATTCTTGTTTGGTTCACTCATGAGAATCGCTGCAGCATCAATATCTATGGCTGTAGCAAGTGCTAGGTCATGACATGGTTTCCGCCTGAAAGTATTTATTTGTAGAAATTTAATCCTGCATCAGTATATTTCCAGTTGGCTGGGAAGCCTCCTGCTTTCCCCTGTCCCTATTCGTCGGACATCTTGGACTTCCAGACTGATGGCCTTCCCCTTCGCAATGAATGCAGTAAGGGTTGTTCTTGCAGTCCGCTGCGCGGTGCCCTCGCTGAGCACATTTCAAACACAGAGACTCTCTGTCTGGTCCCTTACACTGCGCTTTGACATGACCATATTGCCAGCATCTATAACATTTCTCTTCCCTCTTTCTCTCCAATATTCTACACATTGACCAGCCGATCTTGATTTTTCCCAGGTTCATCAGTTTTTCTGCATCAGATTCTGACAACACAATCGTGGCGTTTTGTTTATTGGCCATGGTAGGTCTGAGCGCTCTCACTTCAATGTTTTGCCGTGAATCCGCAGATATAGAATCAACAATGGCTTCTTCAATATCCTGTATGGTCGTAATCTCGTCCATGTCTTTGATATGTAAGATTTTCCTACTTATCAAGAGTGAAGTCGAAACTTCAGGTACTTTTTCTTGTATTATCTCCCTGAGAGCTTTGAGTTTTCCTTCTCCCTTATGCACTGTGAGCAGGAGCTCCCCACTCTTAGTTTTTTTCAAATCTCGGATGTCTACGCCGATGTCACTGGGATTCACTTTATCTTTCACCGTCTTCAGAAGGTCTGCAAAGCTGACGTTGGGTAACTTCACTAGTAATGCATCCTGTTTCTTCTTTCTCTGCCTGATATCTGTGCCTACATTTGCCATGCGAGTACTCCCATGTTTCTTCTGGAGGGATTGCTCCCTTTCATTCTTCAGGATGACCACCTCTATGCCAGAATTGAAGAAAACGAATTCCAGTACCCTGTTTATTATAAGTCCTGTTATTCCCTCAATTTCTGGAATAACTAACTTGGTTTTCTTCTGTCTCATCATGGTTTCCTTAGCAGATTCCATACTTCTCAGGATATACTCATCATCAGCTTCTTCGTTAGCACCTCCATTCGAGATGATAGGGTAAAGAATCAGCCTGGCTCTGTGAGTGAGGTTCCCTTCTTCGTCGGGAAAACCCAGCGAGTGTACCATCATTGCAACTTCCCCTTTCCTTCTGTTCTGCTTCATGAGGCCTTCTTTTCCTCCGAGCCTATCTATAACCTCTCCAACTGCCTTGAAGTTGGTGCATAGATCCATAGAACATGGAAGTAGCCATGCGTACTCGTCAGCAATCTCCCAGATGTTTCCCTGCTGAGTACGAATTCTGGGGAAAATTTCGTCCCGCCAGTCCTCTTCAGTTACGAGTTTGAAGCCTTCGTAGCTCTCACCTGTAGATAGTATTTGTCTTCTCTGCTGTTTTCGCTTCTCTTCCTTACAACTATCGCACTGGGCTTGATTGCTTTGGAGGTTTGCCATCTCTTTTTCATGTTTCTCTTCCAAGTGCTTTATATGAGCCTGAAGCCTAGACATTTTGTTCCTCCACTCCATCTCTTTTTCTCGGCCTTCTGAATCCAGGATAACTTCATCTAGCCAGTCCTGCATCTCAGTTCTCTGAAGTTTTTCCAGTTGTAGGGTCAGTTTTCCGGATATATCAGTGAGTTCCTTCTTCGGTTTGTACATTTCTTGTACTACTCCATCTAGCTGCTCGATTTGCCTACATATCTGCTCCATAATACTCTTGAAGGTGTCTTGGATGTTTGGCCGCCCTTCCTGTCTCTCCTCAGAATTTTTGGGGTGATCCATTTTCTTGCGTTTGCTCGTCTTTTCTGGCAATGAGTGAGTCCTCGCTCTAGGAGGAGTCCTCATCAGCAAGTCTCTTCTAGCGAACAAGTTTCCAGTTACCGCGACCCTTTCATCTTGGGTAGGTGCCGGCAGAGACACTTGCTTCTCTGTCGGTACATTATCATTTGAGTTTTTAGTATTCAAACTATCATTTATTTTATTCTCCATCTACGTCCCACGAGTAGGGAAGATTAGTAAGTCGACCGCAGCAGTGCTCCCATGCTACGGCAAGGTCTATATAGCATCCGAATTCGACCAGGTGTTCGGAGGGCATCGTTTGCGACTCTTTGCCGAAAGAGCCATGCATTCCGTAGGCACGATTGCTTCCACCGTGGAATTTCGGATTTTTTTTCGAGGTTCACTCCTCTAGAGTCGTTCTTAGTTTGTACTGCTCTGCCCAGACCTGTCCGGCTTGGGTGGCCCTGCCAGGGATTCAGAATCCCCGCCGGCATAGCTCTGGTCATCATTGCAGTAACTTAAGCCCCCTCACCACTTCAAGGTGACGACTCCTCGAAGGGGATCTATCTATCTATCTATCTATCTATCTATCTATCTATCTATCTATCTATCTATCTATCTATCTATCTATCTATCTATCTATCTATCTATCTATCTATCTATCTATCTATCTATCTATCTATCTATCTATCTATCTATCTATCTATCTATCTATCTATCTATCTATCTATCTATCTATCTATCTATCTATCTATCTATCTATCTATCTATCTATCTATCTATCTATCTATCTATCTATCTATCTATCTATCTATCTATCTATCTATCTATCTATCTATCTATCTATCTATCTATCTATCTATCTATCTATCTATCTATCTATCTATCTATCTATCTATCTATCTATCTATCTATCTATCTATCTATCTATATATCTATCTATCTATCTATCTATCTATCTATCTATCTATCTATCTATCTATCCATCTATCTTTTTTTTTTTTTTTTTTTTTTTTTTTTTTTTTTTTTTTCTTTCAAGGAGGAGGGGAAATCTTGCATAAGACACCCACGAGAGGTAGTGCCGGATTCCTACCGGCTAAAACCCCTCCTCCTCTCATCTTACTCTTCACATTGGTACCGCGTTAGCATTCCTTCAATGTGAGAGTGGTCTTTTATCTCCTACTTTCTGACTCTTTGGTTTCTACTATGCTTCTTATCAGTCTGTAAGCTTCTTTCCATGTTTTTTCAGATGCGATTAGGCTTTCCATCATCCTTTCTGGATTGAAGTCCATTCCTGTTGATAAGGTATATCTGTTTCTATCCTGTTCCCACCTGATGCATGTAAATAGGGTATGCTCTACGTCATCTACCTCTCCACAGTAGGTACATTTATCATCTTCTGCCCTGCTACGGTCGAAGAGATATTTACGGAAGCAGCCATGCCCCGAAAGTGCTTGGGTTAGATAATAGTCTACTTCCCCGTATGGTCTGTTTATCCATGTTTCAATTTGTGGAATCAATCTGTAGGTCCAGCGTCCATATGTGTCTCTATTCCACTTCTCCTGCCATGAGACCATGGTGCCCGCTTTGGCCTCCTCTTTCTGTACCCCTCTATAGGTTTCTGATCTCTCTCTTATGAGTAGTTTTATTGGTGGTATTCCAGCTATAACTCCTGCTCCCTCGGCTGATATTGTCCGGTATCCACTGCAAACTCTGATGCACATTAGTCTCTGAAGTCTTATGAATTTCGCCAGTAGTTTTTTATTTCGCGTTACGGCGTGCCAGATAGGTGCCGCATGAAGGAGTTGACTATGTAGCACGCTTGCCAACACTTTCCTTTTTGAGGATTTAGGTCCTCCTATGTTCGGCATGATATTTGATAAAGCTGCCATAGACTTCTCTGCTTTTTCAGATACTTTCTTTGTGTGCTCTGCAAAGGTGAGCTTTGTGTCTAGCCAAACGCCCAAGTATTTTATGGCATTACTGATGTTTATCGTGGTTCCAAGGACGTTGAATTGTATAGGGGCTAATTTCCTTTTAGTGGTCAAGAGGACTGCTTCGGTTTTTTCAGGTGCTAACTGGAGTTGCCTTCCTTCGAGCCAGTTTGCGACCTTTTGTAGCGCTGTGTTAGCGTTACACATTAGAATATCCTCAGTCTGGGCGATTATCACCATGGCGATATCGTCCGCGAAGCCAATGAGGGTCACTCCTTCTGGTTGCTCCACTTCTAGCAGGTCATCATACATCACGTTCCACAGGGTCGGACCCAGAACCGAACCTTGCGGAACGCCACTGGTTATTCGTTTTTGTTTGGAGTTTCCTTCAGTCTCTAGAGTAATTTCCCGCTCGGATAGGTATGTCGCAATGATATTGATGAGGCTCTCATCGATTTCTTTCTTCCTCAGTTCTTCAAGAATGATTTGCCACTTTGCACTGTTGAATGCGTTCCTTACATCAAGCGTTATGACTGCACATAGGCGCCTGTGTTGATGAGAGAATGCCTCAGCTTCTCTTGCCATTTTGACTACTTCCCCGATGGCATCTACCGTCTGCCTTCCTTTCCTGAAACCGTACTGCTTATTTGACAAGCCTCCTGTTCGTGTCAGTTCGCTGTTTAGTCTTAAAAGGATGAGGTGTTCATACAGCTTGCCTTCTACATCCAATAGACAGATTGGTCTATAAGACCCCGGGCTGTCTAGTGGCTTGTCGCCTTTTCTCAACAGTATCAGTTTTGCTCTCTTCCATTCCTTTGGGAAGGTTCCTCTGGTTGCCAGATTATTGTAAACAGCTAGTACATATTCCGTTTTGTTGGTGGCTACATGTTTGGCTATTTCGGGTGGAATGTTTCCTGGGCCAGGTGCTTTGTTGTTTTTCAGTTTTGACTGAGCGGTCAAAAGTTCATCAATTGTAAATTCTGTGAATTCTGCGTCTGAATCTCGGTCGAATACTACTGGTTTGTGTGCCGGAAATAGATGGTCCGCTATTTCTTCAAGTTTGTTCATTTCAAGTTGTTGTCTCGGAGGGTAACCAATTAGCCTCTTCATGACTATTTGGTAGCCGTCTCCCCATATATCGCGGTCTATATCATCGCAGATATTCTTCCAACAGATTCTTTTCGCTTTTCTTATACTATTTTTCAGCAGTGTTTTACATTCCCTGTATTCTTCCCACATGATCTGGTTTTGTGCTGGTTGATTTCTCTTCATATTCCTTGTGTATATTCTTCTTTTCTGAATGCATTGTTTCCGGAGTTCGGATATTTCCTCGTTCCACCAGTAAACTGGTTGGCGGTTTTTATGCTTTTTTCTCTTCGGCATGGTATCTTCGCAAATTTTTGTGAGTGTGGCTGAGAAGCCTTCATGTGTCGTTGTACTCTCGTCCACTACTATTTCTTCTAGAGAGGTTTTCAACCTGTGGGTGTTTATCTTCCTCATGTTCCATCCTTGATTGCTCTGAGTCGTTTGCTTGCAGATCTGCTTCGTCATCTTCACCTCGAATATAATATAATTATGGTCGCTGAGCGTTTCTCTGTCACTCACTTCCCAGTTCAAAATGTTGTTTCTCATATTCTCTGTCGCGATCGTCAGGTCTAGTATCGATGTATAGTCTCTTCTTCGAAAAGTCGGTCTGTTTCCTTCGTTAACAATGATGAGATCATGCTGTGCCACCCACTCTGTGAGTAACTGTCCTCTCCGATCTGTGTGCGTCATGCCCCATTGGATGGATTTGGCATTGAAGTCCCCGATCACAACTGATTTCTCTTTTGCAACCCTTATTTCATGTCCGATCTCCACTAGAGTTCTTTCCAGTTCTTCTATATCTCTATTTGGAGATGCGTAGCAATTGTAGATTGTGAAGTCTGCAGTTGCCACAAAAGAGAAGCCTGAGCCTCTACCCTGCCTTTTTATTGTTATCTGCGGGTCAATAATCTTTATGGCTGTATCCACATCTTCGTCAAATATCCAGTCTTTTCTATGGCTGATAGCATTTCTGTTTGGTTCGCACAAAGCAATTATTCCAGCTCCTATCTCTTTTGCTGTTGCCAAGACCATGTCGTGTGCAGCTCTGCTTCTATTAGTATTTATCTGGATGATGTACATTCTTAGTGGTTTATTGCTGCGGTTCCTCCCCCTTCTCTCCCTTTGAAATTGGACTGTTGACATTTTCTGCTCCCAGATTGGTGACCTTCTTGTTGGCAATGGACGCAAAAGGATATACCCTGGCAGTCTGTTGCTTTATGTCCCTCCTTGCTGCATTTAAGACAGTTGTGTTCCCTATCTGGACCTGTGCAGTTAGCCTTTGTATGACCATAATGCCAACATCTATAGCATTTTAATTCTTTTTTCCTCTCGCTCATTCTGCATACCACCCATCCTATCTTGATGCGTCCCAGCTGTAATAGTTTTTCGGCGTCAGGTTTCAGCATGACAATGGTCACGTTTTGTCTCTGTCCGTATGCAGGCCTCAGGGCTCTCACTTCAAAGCGCTCTCGTTCAACAGCGATTGCTTCAGTGATGGCTTCCCTGATATCTTCTTCCGTCGAAACATCGTCTAGATCTTTTATATGGATCACTGTTTTGTTGACGAGGTGGGATGTTGTCGCCACGGGGACCTTTTCTTCGATCTTTTTTTTGAGTGCTTCCGCTTTCTTGAATCCGTTGCTCACCGTTAGGAGAATGTTCCCATTTTTTGTCTTTTTGATGTCTTTCACCTCGGCTCCTACTTCACTAGGATTAAC